AAAATTTAAAATTTGCTTATATTTTCCTAACAATAAAAGGCATTAAGCATTCCAAATAATTGACTTATAAATGGGCTTTTGAACTATTATAAATTGTATGTATATTATCTTTTATATAGTTACTTTACCATATGTCTTAATCTCTTTTCTGCATGTAAACTCCTTGAAGGCAGAGGTCACATTTTTTGAATCCTCCCTAGCAATCAGCACACAATCCAGAATTTAGCAGAGCTCAGAAATGTCTGGGATGAAAAGATATTGTGTCTGGGAATTTGCTTTGAAGCAATCCAGTCTGGGGCAGGAGATGGAAATGAGATAAATATGTAACAGAATTGGCCATATGTTAATCATTGTTGAAGTTGGGTGATGGGTACATGTTCATTATACTATCATTTCTACTTTGTTGTATTTTTTTTTAATTTCCATAATCAACAGATTGTGTTTTTAAAATGTTTGTTGTGTTGATTAGTCAATAGCATTAGAAAGAGACCTTCTGCAACAACAATGGTGATAGAAATTGAATATATCTGCATCAAGGCCACTTCTGTAGCCCAAAAAAGTTAGGAGCACAGCCCTCGATATTAGGCAAGCATGGGTACAAATTGTCTTAAGCTTAGGGACCTCAAGTCCCTAAGAAAATAAGAAAAGAAAAACCTAGTTTCAACCCCACTGAAACTCAATTTTGCTTTTCTTATTTTTTTCGAGATGGAGTTTCGCCCTGTCTCCCACGCTGGAGTGCAATGGCGCGATCTCCGCTCATTGCAACCTCCACCTCCTGGCTTCAAACGGTTCTCCTGCCTTAGCCTCCTGAGTCGCTGGGATTACAGGCACCCACCACCATGCCCAGCTAATTTAGTTTTTTGTATCTTTAGTAGAGATGGGGCTTCACCATGTTGGCCAGGCTGGTCTCGAACTCCTGATCTTGTGATCCACCTGCCTCAGCCTCCCAAAGTGCTGGGATTACAGGTGTGAGCCACCACGCCCAGCCAGTTTTTCTTTATAAATGGGGGTATTAATAACTATCTCAAAAGGTTGTAGTGAAGATTAATGGGTGTAAAACACAGCCCTAGCAACTGATAGCACTCAATAAAAAGTGGGCATCATTGTCATTCAGTGATGCACACACTTGTCAAGCTCCAGCCAACACAGCCTGATGGTGACAGTCCAATACCCTTCCACTGCAGCTGAGATTTCCGTTAATCAGCTTGGGCACCAGGCAACCACTTGGCAGAGGACTTGGTAGAACAGATGTCAGGAGTTGTGTTCCAGATACCCAGAAAAGAAAACAGATAAGACCATACCAAAGGACAAAGCCTATAGCTCCTGACCTTACTCAACAGGTCACCGAAGAGGCTAAACTCCACATCCTAAGGATGCAATCAAGAAACAAGACTGATGAAGTCCTTACAAAAACAGTTAGAAACTTTGATCGAACATTGGCGTCCCCGGGAGAGCGCCAAAAAACACAATGTCCGTGTCCCACTCCCAGATTTTTATTTAGTGGTCTGGGACATGGCCTAGGTTTCGAGACCTTTAAAAGTCTAACATGATCTCATGTACAGCTCTAGTGTTGCTGCTACAGAAAGAGGAAGGCTGAGCCACTCCTGTGTGTGAGCTGGGCTTGGAGGTAGGGAGGGAAGAGGACAAGGAAAAACAAAGGAAAAGGACAGAGGCCAGCGAGTCCCACATGAGGCCCATTAAAGCCAAGTCAGTCATGTGGTCTCAAGCTGTGTCCCGTGCCAGACAAATCCAATCCCATTAGAGTCCCATCACTCCCCCCATAAACTTCAAGAGAGGGTTACTGTGTAATAATGCATCAGGCTAAAATATGTTACTAATATCACAATGTGTGCATATCAATATTCTAAAGAATATTAAAGTAATGTAGTTTATCTCTGGGTTGGTCTTGGGGGAAAAAAAAAAAAAGCCCAACTAAGTGATGGAGGTTGGAGAAAGGGGAAAGCATTCATCTCCCAGCATTTTGGCAGCCTGTCAACGTGACTGAAGCACACTCGAAGAGGCAGCCTTATTTTGTGAAGTTATTGCAGTGTCTTTGATCAGCGGGAAAAGCACATCCATTTCAATCACTGTAGCTGGGATGGGCCCACTGTCTGGCCATCTGGCTGCCCACCAGGGTAAGCTAGCCTTCAGCCTACAGACACATGGCAGTGCTTAGCATGTCAAACACATGAAGGGTTCTTCACTATCTACACAACTTTTGCTGAACTTCAGGGACCCTCTCGTTTAGCAATTTAGCCTGGACTAATCTGGAAGTTCCCTTCCCCAGGAAACACCACCTGGTCTGGCCTGGCCTCACCAAAACAAAAGCTGGCCAGTGGGCTGTCTGTCATGAGGCATCCAACACTTCGGAATCAGGAGGGCAGGGGTCAACCATTCCTATAAGCAACACACCCAGGATTACACAGGCCTGGAGGAAGAAAAAGCCCGTGGCCACAGACTCCACTCCCCTCCATTACCTTCACCCTGTCTCAGTCCCAAACTAATGTGAGAGAAGTCTGATTCCTCCCCCAGACATGAACTCTTAGCAAGGCAGTTTTAAATACATACAAACATCACCCACATTCTTTTTTCCAGGATAAACAGATTTTTTTTTTAATTGAGGGAATAGTTCATCAATCTTCCAACTTGGGGATTTTCAACAAAAGGTTTAGGTTTTTTTCTTAAGTGGTATAGTGGTATCGACCGTAAGATCTCAGGAAGATTTGAGTAGCAGAGCTACAGTAGAGATGGGAATAATGATCATGATCATGATCATGATAAAACTTACATATTATTTATGTGTTCCAAGTGTTTTATATGTGTTAGCTGATTTTATCTTCATCACAACCTAATGAGGGAAGCTATAATAATGATCATTAACAATAGTAATTATAGGAATATATAATATACAACAACTATTTTTACATATGGTGATAATGAATAAAAACAGATAAGCAATGTAATAATCAAGCTCCACTTTTCAGATAAGGCAATTCTGACCCCAGAGAAGGTCAGTGACTCACCTGCGGGGTGAGGGCTGAGCTTAGTGCCCAGGCGTCCAGCTCCAGGAGCAGCGCTCTCAACGGAGCACCAGACTGGCTCCTTCCAGAGCACACTCAGAGCCTCCTTTAAAGCTGCCAGCTCAGAGAGCCAGCAGAGCATGGAGGGCTTGCAAGGGCTCTGGAGTTAGGGATTCGTGAGTCTGAGTCCCAGCTCTGCCCTCCACATCCAAGCCTGCTGCATCATCTATAAATGGGGATAATGACACCTACCTTACAGGCTTGTGGTGAGGCCTAAATGACAAAATGAATTAAAAGCACCTCTCCCAGCAGGGCGCGGTGGCTCACGCCTGTAAGCCTAGCACTCTGGGAGGCCGAGGTGGGTGGATCACCTGAGGTCAGGAGTTCAAGACCAGCCTGGCCATCACGGTGAAACTCCATCTTTAAAAAAAAAAAAAGAAAAGCACCTCTCCCAGGGTCGGCAACGAAGGTCAGTTTAACCCAGCCACTATCAAGCCTGGCTGTCCACTTGGATCAACTGGAAAATGTTTAAAATGCTGATATCCAATTCCCAACCTCCTCATCCCTCTATATTTCCGTCTCAACAGAAAATTAGTCTCAAATCAGTAATCCGCTGTGTTCCACCTGGAAATGAAACCTGAAACCGCTCACACCACAGACCAGCCTATCTACCGTTCGCTGCACTGACTGAGAATTACAGGGAAGCTTTTAAATCCCTGAAGCCTCTGCCCCTGGCTCTAAAACAGCAGGATTCCCCCAAAGAGGAGAGGAGCGGATTTCATATTTCACTTGTTCGATTAAACAAAGGAAGTTGCAGGTACCAGGACTATTCCCAACCATCTGGCTAAGCTCACCATTGGCTGGTGGCCTTCCCCACTTCCATCAGGACAGCACCTTCACCTAGCTGGCACCATATCCGATGCTCACAGAAGCTGCCCACCTCCCAGGCTGCCCCTACCTCAGCCACAAGCCCCTGCACAGGAGGAAGCAGCTCAGAAACTTTCCTGAGAAGCACCTTTCCATCCCACCACTGCCTGTGTTTATTAAATCGTCTGTGCCAAGGCCAGGTATGATGGCTCACACTATAATCCTAGCATTTTTGGAGGCTGAGGTAGGAGGATCACTTGAGGCCAGGACTTGGAGACCAGTCTGGGCAACATAGCAAGGTCCTCATCTCTAAAAAATATTTTTTAAAATAAGCTGGGTGTGGCGGCATGTGCCTATAGTTCCAGCTATTCGGGAGGCTGGGGTGGAAGGATTGCTCGATCCCAGGAGTTCAAGGCTGTAATGAGCTATGACTGCACCACTGCACTCCAGCCTGGGCAACAGAGTGAGACCCTGGCTCGAAAACAAGAAGCAGTCTGTGCCAAGATCAACAGAGTCAGCATTACCTTGACAGTGCACTAACCAGAAGATCATGCAACATGAGAGGTAGGACTGCCTGACTTAGGTTTTAAAATCTGAGTATATGCATACCCCTGTGTGTACACACACACACACACACACACACACACACACTCCAAGAACCATAGTACACTTTGTGCTCAAAAAGGTCTCTGCTTTGTTCAAGGACTGGGGATAGAAAGCAGGGAGGGCAGGGGGTAGCAATAAACAGGGAAGGGAATACCAGGGTTGCCCATGGAAACTGGCAGGAATAAGAAAAATAATCAGCCTACATTTGACAGCAGAGAAATGCACAGGTCTGGCCCTCCGAGGAGACAGCCAGCAGGGAGGATGGGGACCAAGCAATGCCAGTTTCCTGGCTCGAGCTTCCATGCATCTTTTCAGGACCTACTGCCAATTGGCAAGAGGTGGTGTGGAGGGCCAGGGAGGGGAAAGGCAGTGCAGAGGGGAGCTGAAGAGCCACTCACTCAACTGTTTCCCAGAAAGTGAAGGCACCAAGCAGCCCTCATGATCTCAGGAAGCCTCCCCTCTGCCTGCGTCCAGGAAAGAGCCCAAGAGGTTTGTCCAAGGCCTCACCTGGGTAAAGGTGCCATCCTCGCTACACTCTGGGACAAACACAGCTTCCTGAGGCCTCTTGGATTGCTCCAGGGCTTGGGTCCGCTCCTGGCGACACTTGCTCTGGCCAGCGTCTGAAAGAGGAGAGGAGCAGATTTCATATTTCACTTGGATTCCGCACTGGGGCCCGGGGACAAAAAGGCTGAGAAAACCACTCCACCTGTGCGGGACCCACACACAACCAACTGGCTTGTCCAAGCCTACAAGGGCCGTGGCTAGTGACTGCTGCGCAGCGCCCCCTCCTCGTATGTCATTCAGAGAAAAGGGCGGAGTCATGTTTATCCCAAGCTCTGCCTGTCTTTTCTCCCAAGTACCTCTACCCTCGCCCGAGAGAAAAAAAATGTTTTACTTCCATTATTTTTTGCTGGCTTTATCCTAAAACTAGTAAGCCCAACAGGGGCTCCATCATGTCTTGTGGTTCAAAAATTGCAAACATTTTCTTTAGAAAATCAAAGGCTGCAGCACAGCCAGCTTAGCCACCTACAATTCCTGTGATGGCTCTAAGCAGTCCAGGGTCACAAGTTCAAGTATGTACAGGACTCAGGGAAAGAGATACAAATTAGAGTAACCAGCTGGGTATGAGAAGAATGGCATTTCGTTCTGAGAGACTATAGGGAGACTATAGGGAGACTATAGGGAAGACTGTGGCAAACTGGAGAACAGGCTCCCCTTTAAAGGGGTAGCTGTTATGCAGGTCTGGCCATGTGCTGCTTTGTAGGAACATAGACCTAATGTTACCAGACTTTCCAATTTTGGAACAGAAGGACAAACAGCCAGAATTTTTTCACTAACTCTCCCAATTTTTAGACGTTATCCCAAATGCTTTTTATTGTTTTTAAACAGGCGAGCAGAACAAACAAAAGACATCTGTTAGCCAACAATCTGGAATCACTATTCAGGAGCCAGCAATAATGTCTTGCCATTTTATGCACCTCTTTAAAAAGAAAAAAGAAAAAGGAAAGCATTTGCCAGGTAGAAGCTCATCTCTTTAAGCCGTAGCCTGGGAGCAGTGTTTGAGAGACAGAAAAATGTTCATTCCTTCAGGTAGAGCAGGCCTTCTTCCCTCTGCCCTGGTGGGACGGGTGGAGAGATAGGAAAGCAAAATGAGTGGACAGGCTCATTCCAAGCTCCCCTGCTGGGAAAGCACAGGGAGGGAGCTGGGGTGCCCAGGAGCCTCTCCTCGGCTTGGGGGAGGGTGCGCACACTCACCTTTGCATCTGCCTCGATGCACCACACCCAGGGTCGGGTCTCGGCACTTGGCTCGCTGGTACTCACACATGGACTCATAGGACCTGCCATCAGAGGCACAGATGGGTTTGGGTTGTTGAGTCCTGGAGCAGTGGAGGTTGCACTGAGGGTCACGGTCACTTATTAGAAACTAGGTTGGAAAAAAGTGAAAGGGCACAGAGGTTACTTTTGCAAGAAAAGTAGGGGCGAGTCCATGACTTACAACAGTACTGGTTTGCCTTTAGAAAGTGAGTCCCGAATAAACCCAAATAAAACCCTAAAGGTGAAGGGAAAGGAGCAGCCACAAAGTCTAACCAAGGAAGGCATCCTCTATGCACCATAAGAACAATAATGTCTAACGATCACTGACTATTAACGGGCACTGTGCCAAGTCATTCACATCCACGATCTCAGTCCTCAAAACCCATAAAATAGTAACTCCTTATTCTGTGGACAAGGAAATAGAAGCCCAGAGATGCAACTTGCCCGGTGCCATATAGCTATAAGTAGTGGAGACTGAGTCAGAATCTAAATGTGTCAGAAGTAAAATCAAAGCTTTACGCTCCAGGCTGTCCAGCCTCTCCATCCATGCAGATGGCCATGCAGCCTCTATCTGGGTACATCCTCAAATCAGGAACACACCATAAATCTCCCAATTCCATCTCTGGAAAGTTTTATTTGTTAGATTGTAGTGAGCTCCAAATCTTACCATCCCTCCCATTTTTGCCCACCTCTCTCTGGCAGAATACAAGTCAAATAATTTTCTGTGAGAAACAGATATCCTGATTTTTAAAATAACAATAATAATCAGCTTGGAAAATGCTAAGTTAAGCAGATTTTCTTGGTGCAAGACTTCTCAGATGACTCTGATACATTCTTATGCATTGTGAACTTCCAAGACGCATAGTAAATTAAAGATAGCTTAATTATTTTTAATTAAATTTTTAATTAAATTATTTGCTACTCCTCCCATTTAGCTATGGAGTCTAATTTCCTCTCCCTTAAATCTGGACTGGTTTCAGGAACTTGCTTGACCAAGAAAATGCTATGGAAGTGGTGTCTGAGGACTTCAAAGTTGGTCTATACAAAGCCTTGCAGCTTCTTTCTGGGCCTCTTGTAATACCTATTCTCCGGGAAACCAGCGCCATGTAAGAAGCCTAACAACCCTGAGACCACCATACTGTGAGGAAGCCCAAGTTAACATATGTCAAAACCATGTGGAGAGAGAAATGCCCAACCAACCCAGACACAGAAACATTGAGTGAAGAAGCCTTCAGGTGAGTCTAGCCTCAGCTGTCATCTAATTGCACCTCACAGAGACAAAAATAAATGACTGCATGAAAACCACCCAGCTGAGCCCAGTTAACCCACAATACTGAGAGAGATTATAATAACAAATTGTTTAAGTCTTTAAGTTTTGTGGTAGTTTGTTATACAACAATCAACCAGATCAAGGGGCATATACAATGAAGCAGCTTCCAAAGTTACTTAACCATGAACTGCTATATCAGGGACCCCCCTGGTAACAACAACAGAATGCAGTTGGAGAAGAATAATTGGGCCATTACAACCCATGAGCTTCTGTTCCATAACCCACGATTAGACTGTACGGGCCCTGAGACCTGGATCCACTCTTATCCACTCCCATATAGCAGAGCCCTGGTCACACAGAACAAGGCTCCATCAGACTAGGTTGAGGGAATGAATGTCCCACAATAATGAATGGCAATGTCATGAGCACACATCAGGCCATCCGTAATGGTAGAGTTGACTATGTAATCATGCCAAGCTCATAGAGGTTTTGGGAAGGTGTGAATGCAAACTCTGTCTCAGATGTATTTATGGGCCCTTTGCATGAAGCAAATAGATGGGAACTTGTTGACCCTTTTCCAGGTCAGCAGAGAAAGTTTCAGAGGTAATCCCACACCCATCAGGGACTACTAGAAGCACACACGCCACACTGGCCAAATTCAAAGATGGCCTGAGCCTGTCCATAAATCCAGACCACCTCCCAGCTATAAAACCAGTCTCCTCTGAGGCCTGGACCTCATGCCTGGCTGCTGGCTACCTAGCACAGGGATGGAGCAGCTGAGGGCTGAAGCCACTGCACTGGCCTTGTCCAAATTAACAGTGAAATTAAGCTTTCTCTTCAGATGCCTTGGGCTCCCACGCACTCACAGGTCGGACCTGAATCTTGCCCAGGGCCCAGAGGGAAATATCTGGATAGTGTCTCATGAGCACAGCATTTGATTGAGTCCAGTGCTCAGGGGTAACAATAAATAACACAGATCATCATCTCCAGAGGAAGCTCACTGCCTCCAGGACTGCCCCGTGGAGGAGGGGTGAGCTGGCAGGGGAGGTGGGAGAGGACAGCCCTGTCCACAGGTAACTCCTGCCCAGGTTCCCCAGCCTCAATCTCCCTTGAGTTGCCCCTGCTTTAAACCCGCGAGCGGTGTGTCCCACTGCTCAGGGGCCCTTCCATCGTCTCCCAGGCCTGGTGAGAATTGGACCCCGGGGCCCCTCTCTGGCCCTCTGTTCTCTCTTCCCTGCTCCCCCTTGCTCCCTGGTGGTGGGGCACACAGGCTTGCTTCCCATTTCTCAAATGAGCTACCTCCAGGCCCTCAGCCATGCTGCTCCTTCTCCATTCCCTCCCACCCTACTTCGGATTCTGGCGCAGGCTGCCTCTTCTTGGAGGCCCTCCCTGACTCTCCCAGGTGAGGATGATCTCCTGTAATACCCTCTCACACTTCATTTTTCCTTCATGGCTCTTCACACAGTTTGTAATGATGAATTCATTGGTGTGATTTGGTTAACAATGGAATCCCCAACTCTGAGCTCCATGCAGAAGAGAACGATGTCTGCTTTGCCTGTGAACACCTTCCCCTGGCTTCTAGCACAATTCTGGGGCCTTCCGTTACTCGTGGGAGGACTGCAGCCCTGTAGCAGTATCTCCCACATAGCATTACCTCAACACCGGCCAGTGGGATGTGGCAGGCCTGGCCTCCCAGGCTCCTGCCACCCCTGGGGATCCCTGGGGCCACCCCTCATGCCCCCATGCTTTGAGCCTTGCCCTTCTCCTCAGCCATGTTCTCCCGTCCCACTTCTGCATTACATGTGGACAGAGGTTGCCCAGAGTCTGCCACCTTCACTCCACCCCAGAACAAGAACTCTCATCAGGAGCATCTCATGCTGGTCCTGACCTGCCTGGAGGGTAGGGCTGTCTCACGTGGATGCTCAGCATCTGGCGTCTGGCACACACAGTAGGCGCTTGGTCAATAGATTTTGACTTTGTGAAATTGTTTTTGCGAGTGGACCAGTGTTTCGGTTTGTTATAATGAAAGGCAGTGGGGCCTAGTGATTAGAAGCATGGCTCTGGAGCCCAGTCATGGGTGTCAATCCCAGCACCGACACCCACATGCTGTTTAATCTTGGAACGTTGTCTATCTTCTCTAGGCTTTTGGTTTTCTCATCTGTAAAATGAGAGTAGCAACAAACCTTGCCTCATAGGGTCATGTGAAGATTCAATTATTAACATATCCTAAGTCACGTATAACTTGTTCATCTCCTTTCTTTGGAATTTAAGTGAGGGGGGCACAGTTTAAGAGAACACATAGAAAAAAAGGAGAGGAAGACAAAGTTTCTTTTCAAACCCACTGAGGTTGCCTAGTTGCCTACACTGCAGCTCACGGGACAGGCGAGCTGCCAGCGTCCCTGCGAAGTTGAACCGCAGGCCAAAAAATCGGTTTGAAAATGGATTGCTCTATGCCAAGAGAGAGGCCACAGCAGCTGTACCAGAGACCAGCTTCCTAACAAGGGGAACACTCTGTCTGCAAACAGACAGGTTAAAGAGTTTCAGAGGCCCCACCCTTCCCAACACACAGAGATCATTCTCCGTTTCAGAAGAGTGCCCAAAATATTCCTGTCTAGAAATTACTGGTCCCTGAGACCAAATAAAAAATTCAGCAATAGCATGAGGTCACTGACAATTTTCAATCGACTATGGTGTCTCACTTTCATCTGTTTTAGGAACTGTGTGTATTTGTGATTGTTTTCACACACACACACACACACACACACACACACACACACACACACAGCACTATAAAATGGAGCTTTAACTGGATGACTATGGCTACCTTATTAGGATAAGATCACCCAAACCTCCAGAGCCTCAAAGGGATTACTCTGTGTCCACAAACACTGAGGACTAGGTAACCCTCCAGTTCGTTCCTTCATCTGTTCCTCTGCTCTGTACTCAATATGCGATCACCAACAGTGAGCCCAATGCTAGCAGCATAGGAAGCAACACGTAACCAACATGGTCCCCGCTCTCCATCTAGGGTGGAGACAAGGAGCATGTTAACAGGACACCATGGAGCTATTAAGATAGAGGCTGTAAGAAAAGACTTAATCCGAGAGACTCTGGAACACTCCAAAGCCACACAGTCCAATAGAACTTCTCAAGATGATGGACATGTTCTGTATCTGTGCCGTCCAATACAGCAGCCACAAACCACATGTGGCTATTAAGCACTGCAATGTAGCTAATGCAACTGGGAAATCAAACATTTAGTTATGTTTAATTTTAGTTAATTTAAGTTTAAATAACCACATGTGGCTAGTCGCAGTAGCAACAGCCCAGTTATAAAGTAAACAAACTAAGAGGAGAAGAGAGAGGAGGGAGCATAGTCCTCAATCAAATTTTCTTCAGTTGAGCCAGATGAAGATTGATTGGACTAACAGAAAAAAGAAGCTGATCCTGAGAATAGTTTCTACATTTTGAAATTAGACAGTATGTTAGGCTATTCTTGCATTGCTATAAAGAAATACCTGAGGCCAGGTACGGTGGCTCTTATCTATAATCCCAGCACTTTGAGAGGTCAAGGAGGGAGGATTGTTTGAGTTCAGGAGTTCAAGACCAGCCTAGGTAACATAAACAGACCCTGTCTCTACAAAATGTTTCAAAGTTAGCTAGGCATGGTAGTGCATGCCTGTGGCCCTAGCTACTTGGCAGGCTGAGATGAGAAGATCACTTGAGCTGGGAGGTGAAGGCTGCCGTGAGCCATGATGGTACCACTGTATTCCAGTCTGGGTGACAGAAAAGGAAGGGAGGGGAGGGGAGGGGAGGGGAGGGAAAAAAGAAAGAAAAGA